GGCATCGCGTCCAGACTCCCCCGATCTGCCGACAAACAGCTGATCGGCAGATCGGGGCAGCCATTTAAATTTAAATGAAGCCGCGATTATTTTAATCGCGGCTTCATTTCCCTCTTTCGATCTGGCTAATCTACATGCCTCCGTCGAAGGAGGCATGTAGTCTAGACACACCCTTAGACTATGCGCAGCTTCCAAAAGAAGATATGCAAATTTAGCTCAAATTTGCATAGCTCCTTTTGTTTTTTCCCCCAGAAGAGGCTTTTTCGATATATGGCCCGTCTTCACGGGGCCAAATATTGAAAAAAAACCCCTCTTTCGAAAGCCCCTTTATTCCTCTTAAAAGGAGGTTTACAAGGAGCCGAATTTGCATATCTTCTTTTGGAATCCGTGCGTAGTCTAGACATGCCCCAAAGAGTTGCTCTGTTCCAGTACATCACTAGTGCATAGAGGGGGACGCAAGGGATTATAGCTTATAAACAAATGACTGGGAACACGGGGACTTCATGCCTTTGGCTACCCAGTGTGTGACAACATTAGTAACTGAACCCAGATCACCAAAGTCCCATTCAGCGCTGGATACGTTAGCCCAGCCTCCTTCCCTTAGCATGCTATTTGATTGTTACATGGAAGCCGACTTTCAATTAGGACTAGCTTTGACCATGGCTGGGGTCCTTGGAAAAAAGCCTTTTTGTGAGAGGAGCCAAGAGAAAATGCTTAGGAACTAGGAGCATCCTGAGAGTGGCTTGTTTGTCAGAGGGTTGTTTCAAGAATATTCCCCAACATGTATACATCTGTGGTCTGGAGGAGGCAGCTTGATCATAGTCTTTGGGGAGGAGATTCAAGAGGCCCCACACGACTAAGTTTCCAAAGTCCTTGCGCACAGAGTGGGTCACTGAATTCAGTTTCTCATAAATTCTAAGGAGAGCAGCAACCTCGGCTAGTGAGCGGGTGGCATGAGTGGCCCTTCTTCAGCTCAACGGGCCGCAAGATTGTCCGAACCAAGACAGTCCTCTGGGATAGGATAGTTTTGCTAACTGCCCTTGTGTGCCTAGAAGTTGCAGGGTGCACCCACTGAACCATAGCAGCGCTTTGATTAGATGCAGAGGGAGTGCCTGGCTCTTACAGTCAGTATGGTGTGCTGTCAGCCACACCTCACTTCACATGCCCTTTTATATGCGTGTCACTTTTGTAATACCAGTAGGAAAAAAATGATCTGGACAGAAACCAGCAGCATCTGGCAACCCTTCGCATGGGCAACAGGCAACAAAATGCCTCACGGGCCACACTTAAAAGCCTGCTGTGCCACGTGCAGCCCACAGGCCGTGCGTGGGCCACGACTAGGCTAGAAGGTGCTCTGCTTGCTCAGCTAAATATATTATTGTTAGTAGTATTAGTATTACTGTATTGCCCAGAGCTCCAGATGAGATGTGCTAGATAGTACATAAACGCACTGAAAGGCAGCCCCAGCCCAGAAGAGTTTACAGACTAAACTGGCCAGACTGATAAAGGCTTAGAAGGGTAAATAGGGTATAGAAAGCAAAGTGACTTCCCCAAGGTCATCCAACAGATCAGTGGCAGAACTGGGAATAGACCCTCGTGTCTCCAGAGCATTTTGCCCATCCTGCCTCATACACAGATGTAACACTCCCTGCCTGGTTTTTTAGCTCTAGAGAGCTGTGGGGGGAATACGGCCTCTATTCGTAAGATAGTCTTTAATGATAGGACTACATGCTATGTTTCCCACAAGCACCCTGCTTCACTCAGTACACAGGAATGATAGTGTTCTGGGAATGAACCAAAATTCCATAGCAAAGGAGGTTTTTGTGTACATGACTCTGGCCCCTTTGGTGCTGAAGTTAGAACATGTATAGCCAACGAGGGAGGGAACTGTAGGAAGAGAAAGGATGCTCTCAAGGTGTAGGCAGTGAAACGCTGCCTTGTAGAATTAGGTTCTATCCCACCCTTTGCCACCTAGTTCCTCCATAGTGTCGGACTAGCCACTTAAGTCCAGGTGGCCACAAATGGTCAGACTGGCAAAGTGCTACGTGCTCCGAGCTGCAATGAAACCCAGTGGGAGAGGTGCTTTGATCATACAAAATCATATACAAATGGCACAGGGTTAGCCTCCAAATCCATAGAGAGAACAATTTTGAGGTTAAAGTGCATAGGCCACATCCACGTTTTCTGCGTGGCATGCTCCATGTAAGGGACAGCATCTCAGATCACATTTTACCAAAATACAGTCCGTTCCCCTCCCCCTCTGAGTCTCTTTGTAAGTCAGGCCCAAGATGAGCTTTGCCCCTCACTCCTGTGAGCCAAGTGGCAGATAGCTGGTTTCATAATGCTGTAGCTGTTACTTCTCACCATATTTCTCTGGTGCTTGGTGCCTCCTTTTCTGAGTCCCGTGCCATGACCAGACACGTCAATTAGGGTTATAGGCGAGGTTGCATGTCATACCTGGCAAGTTCTTACTGATCTCCGATAGATGCTTTTAAAGGTTCCTTCAGGCTCTAGAGATGATAGTGATTCTAGTGGTATTCCTCATTTTAAGCACTATATAGCTCTAAAACTGAACGGGAACTGAGGGGAAAGCAAACATGAAAGGCAGCCTGGACCGACAAGAAATCATTGGAAAGAGTTTGCTCTGTGATCTTGGCACTTCACCTTTCTGTGCTGTTCTCCCTCCCCTGATTTTTCTGTCTTGTCTTTTGAGATGTAAATGCTTCAGAGCAGAGACTGTCTCTTGGGCTGTCAATCTAAGTTATGCAACTTTGGAGATGGGAATAACGTAGCTGAAGTCAACATTCTTAGGCCTGCTGATTGCAGTGTCTTCACCACGGTACCTCGACAGCTGATGCTCTCCTGTCCCCTCTGCTTACTCTTTTCGTTGTGGTGGAGTGCCAGAGTCAATGGGAGAGTGCTTGATGATCGATTTATTGTGTCTATATTAGATGCAATAAATCGACCTCTGCTGGATTGGTCGCAACCCGTTGAGCCAGCCTGTAATGAAGACATGCCTTTGCTATGTCGGTACAGCACCTAGCAGGATGCCTTCCAAACTTTGCACAACATAGTAGGGATCTGGGATTGCTTCTTGGCTCCTCAAAGTGTGCTCATGTACTGGGAGGACTATTGGACTACGTCTAGACTGCATGGCTCCATCGATGGAGCTATGTAAAAAGTTTATTCGGCATAGTCAAAGAAGCAGGGATTTAAATAATCCCCGCTTCATTAAAATAAAAATGGCCACTGCGCTGTGCCGACGATCACCTGCTCCGGCACAGCGCGGCAGTCTAGATGCGGTGTAATCGACAAGTGAAGCCTTTGTCGACCACTCCAGTAAACCTCATTTCACAAGGCATATTGGAGCGGTCGAAAAAAGGCTTCCCTTGTTGACCGCATTGTGTCTAGACTGCTGCGCTGTGCCGGATCGTCGGCATAGCGTGGCTGCCATTTTTATTTTAATGAAGCAGGGATTATTTAAATCCCCGCTTCTTTGATTATGCCGAATAAACTATTTTACATGGCTCCGTCGACGGAGCCATGTAGTCTAGACATAGCCTTGGAGACCCTGTTTTTGTCCTTAGTATTTTTGTTATTCTGCTGTATCGCTTTTATATTGTGGACCCTCTCTGTGGAATGCATTGTCTTTTGACATCAAGTAAGACCATAGCTTCACTTTTAGTGTAGATTGAAACAATTTATTTTTGTTCTTTTAGCTAATTAACTTTGCAGGATTTTATTATTATTATTTTAAACACCTAATGCCTCAGTGAGATAAAATAAGATAAAAATGTTAGCTGAGCCTGCACAGTAATATGGCAAATTGCAATATGCACCTATTACATTTCTTTAAGAAGCTCCTCTCACTTAATGCTGGTTACAT